AGATATCCAAGATCGCGATCTCGAAGTCAGGGGGAACAAGGAGAAAGACGTCATGATCAGGTGGTGCGTACATCTGTCGGACTTTTTCAATACCGATAGGATCGACCTTGATCTGTAAGGGACTAGTAGTTAGTGGCTTGTACTTGATGAAATTGGACTCGTACCTTGAAATCGAGGATGGCGTAATCCTCTGGGAACTCAAACATGCTAGTCGGAACACCGTGAGGAAGGATCTTGTTACGATCACAGCGCTTTGCGGTATTGTTCACGCGATGCCGATACAGCTCGAGCTCGCCCTGAAGCCACGGGATGAATACCCAACGGAAGACTAAGCTGCGCTGTGATTCAGAAGTCGAAGATCGCTTTGAAAGTAAGGAAGATACACACGCTTCGAGTAGAACTCCCGGATTGTACCAGCCCTCGTTTACACCAACGTCGAGGATGTCTTCAAAGCCAGGAGTGAATCGACGCCGCATCTGACTCCATGTGATTTCCGGCATGATGTTCTTCTTCTTTCGCATCCAACGGTGCTGAGAGGTGCCGATAAGTGAGGGGTCCTGATAGTGACGCAGCTGTGTGTGTCCATTCGCAATCCCCACGTTCTCTGACCCAGGATCGCTCTGGGTCACAAGTGGGATGACTGCGATAAAAACGTCGTGAATATAAGTCCGAAGAGATCAATACTGCACATACCCCCAAGCCGTTCCACGGTTTCCAGATAATAGCTGAATATAAGGCGGGGATTGCTGTTGTTCCACCAAATCTTCAACCAATGAATCATGCCGAGAAATGGGTCAATCCCAGTGTGTAGCGCTAAACCGAATTTATACTTCCATTTGTCGTGCTGATCTACAGCCCATATATCGTTGGCACCCGCTGCCCAGAACTGCTTGCGCTTGAAGTGTCCACGTCGGCGCTCACGAACAAGATCGGGCTCATGAGTGTGAAAATAGCGCATTACAGTCTCGCTAGAAACATACCTATGTGAGCGTATGAGAACACAATTGGAGGGATCACACACCGGGACACGCGCACATTCTCCTCGTGTAATAGCAAGCTAACCATCTCCCGTCCGCCAGCCTTGGGATAGATCGGACGGAGTTTGACAATAAATACCCCAATTGTGTCCACGGTGTGGCCTTGACGCCGCGTGCGTATGAAACCAAGCTTCTCGCGAATTTTTCTAAATGTTTGAACTCTAATTGAGAGCGGTTAGTAGCCTGCACAATGAAGACACAAATATACACGCACTCGAGGCCGTATTTGTTGAGATCGATGTGATACTTCTTGAGCAGCTCGACGATCTCGACATCCTTCTTGTTCTGCTTCCAGTACTTCTCGATGAAAGGACGGAGGTCTTCAGCATTAGCTGTGAACGTTCCAGAGCAAGGGCAAGGTGAAACAGTTGGAAGTGTAACACGTACGAACGGGCTTGTACTGATTGGGCATTCAGAGAGTTATGAGACCGCTGGTGGCACAAAAGAACCGAGGAGGAGCTTCTGTTGGAGTGCGAATAAGCCAGGACTCACTTTATAGTGGCGATCTGAGAACACGATCAACGAGCTGGGTACGGCGGTAGTACGGAGTGGAAGGCATATGCATGTACTTAGAAAGTCAGGGTAAACAAAAACGTTGCTGATCGGAGTTATTTTCAACTCATGTTGATAATGTTAATGTTGATAACCGAAGGACTTTTTACAAACCTAGATATCATTTCGGATCGGATCCCAATTGATATAATTATTCTCCTTGTCCGGTAGTGCAACTTCCCAGGCATGTACTTTGGTGAGTCGTTGTTTCTCAACGAGGGCCTCGCTTGAGAACACGCAGGGCGGCAGTAATAAATTCAACATCAGCATCAACACTGAAATCGCACATGTTGAGCGCTTGCTGTGCTCGTTGCATACCACCGCGGAAAATTCAAGGGTTTAACAGCCCAGTAATTGGCGGAGCCCTAGTGCGGCCGGGCACATGCTTAAGGCGCTACATCCATTCCACCAAACACGTTGATTAAGAACTGAGGATCCATGACACACCGTGAAATTTACTGAGACCGAGGCAGTCTTACCGAGCCTGGGGGAGCACTCTGGCAACACAGCCGAGATTGTCGACCCACTACTAATTGCTGACGCTCAAAGGCCTTAAAAGCGTCTCACAAAATGGGACTTAATCGTCGCCTACTGGTGCTCTGATCATGTCTGGATCAACCCTCTTTGCCAACTTCACCGATGATAGTTCTGATCAGGAGCCCGTTGTGTGCCAGACTGGAGCCCGATGCTACACTCGCGACCGTTCTGATCTCACAAAGGGCTTGCTGATCTTGCCCGGTCAGCCTCGCTTCCGGGTGGAGAACCTTTCTGCTGTCTCCGGTGGCAGGCTTGTGTGTGCAGCTTGCCATGCGCATTACGCAAGGAAAGCCTCGAGCTCGGTCCGAGGTACGTTTAGATGCTAAAACTGATGCAATTTATCAATCACAATCTGTGCAGCAACGTTCCGGGGCGATCTGGAAGGCGAGAAAGAATCTATCCGGCAGAGGAACATCCAAGGACGCGTTGGAGGTATGTTATTTTTGTTCTATACCCTGCTTCTGACTGAGCATTCGCAGACGCATCTCGTGGAGGCCGGATTGCGGCCATTCCATCGGGTCTAATGGGACCGCCCCTTGAGATCCCACAGCGATCCACAGGCACGTACATCATGATCTGCTCAAATTTAATATCTGAATTCTTAAGGTCCTCGTGTTTCGCTTCCAAACCAACCGATATCAAGTTCCGGATCGTCCAGTGCACCAATTAATCCGGGGCAATATTCAAGCCAAGGCTATTCTGCTGCTCACTCTCAGTATGCCGCGGCACGCGGGGCTTTTACCAAATCAGCGTATACTGGGATGTCGCCGCAGTGGATCACCCTGAACATTGGTGTCCGCTATGAGACTCGTGGTCGACCTACTGGGCAAGTCTTTGGGGTATGTTACGGTGACGTGTATCATTTTTGTCACGAATTTGTGCTTCCAGACGATTCACGAGGGCAAGAATGTCCCTGCAACAATTACCGCAAGCGAAATTATCACAGCCGTGTTTGATAACGTGGCGCCCAAGCTTCGTCAAGCCATCGCTCAGGAAACTGACTCTCAATTTGTATTTGATGAGTCTAATTTTTTAGTACGCGATACTGAAACGTGGATCAATGTCCACGCGGAGCTCCCAGGATCCAGCGTGCTCTATGAGCGTTGCCTCAAGACATCAAAGGCTCGTGCCGACAAGGGCCAACTCGTGTTTCAGCGACCGAGAAAGCCCTTTCAATTTGCACTTGTCATCGACGCCAAAGAATGGCTCAGATATGAAAATTACCGTGATGCCCGGGAGCTGGACACACTCTCTATTCAGGTGCGTATACTAGTACTCTCCGGTATTTGGCACGACTGACTTTCTGAAAGGATAATGCCGATACCGTCTCATCTGCGCTACGCTCGCACATGGTACAGCGTGCCCCTGAGCCTTCGGCCCTCAAATTGACAGTCCTGTCGGCCGCGGAGACTACTAAGGAACCGAGTAACGGGTGTTTGACACGCTCAAAAACAAAGAGCAAGGTGAGCGCTTCTATCTTGATTCTTGTATCTGTTTGATTATTTATCCAGCAGACTGCCACTGCCAGTTCGTTCAGCTCCGTTCGACCCTCTCGATCGGCGCCAAGCTTGCAGGACTTTACTCAGCCAGATCAAGCGCTGCCAGAGTCGCCGCTTCCAAGCTCTGGCACGAGAGAAATTTCGTCTCAGGTGTGTTCGTTTACCCTTCTCATGTTTTGTCGCTGACTCGATACATACATGGAATAGGAATCCAGTAGCAAGATAGCGACTTCGAAAAAGCGTGCTGCTAGTCCAATCGACGATTATCATCCGGTTGACCAGCAACGTCTTCGAAAGGCACTCAGTATAGGCGGCTCCTTTCCCAACATTGCGAGAGGTGCGTCTTACTATGAAACTTAAGTATTCAGATCTAATCTCTATGCAGCCTTGCACACAACGGAGATAATCCAATTCTTCCGTATCACTGGGACCTCCGATCTCAATAATCTCCTCGCAAATGGCGGACAAAAATTTGTCTGCGATATTGCGAAGGCGGAAGCCGGTACTCTGTCGCTCCAGCCTTCGGAGAAGCCTCTGGGGATCGGTTCGTTCAAATCTGCTCATTCTGCGTTTCTGACGCTGTCCACTTTGCCGACCACACCCCTCGGAGCGCTTCCAAATCAAGCCGTTGCCGCGAAACGCATGTTCAAGAACAACAAGAATACCGTCTTGATCCGCTTCAACCCCATCGATGAATATGCGCACCATGTATCGGAGGCAAATCTCCTATTCTGGGGCACTACCCTTCTCAGTTTCGTTTATTCTTTCGTGCGTAACTACATATCAAAGCATGTCGCGCCACCAGGCGACCTCCCTATCTTTGAAGTCCGCTTCGTCGAGGCCGGCGTTGCTCTGGTTCACAATGCGGCGGCAGATGGCAAGTCGAGCAAAATGATGACATCACTCCGACGATCATATCTCATTGAAGAATTAATTGGAACGGGTTTGTTCTCTGCAACGACTCGAGTATATTGCTCACTGAATTTCAGGCAAGTTTGTGAAGTACATCAATAACAATAGTGCAGTGCCCGTTCCGTCGCTTCCAGAAGATCTCAAGCTGTTGGCATCGTTCCTCTGTTTTACACAACATGTCCAATACGAACACACCGGGCGTTTGGTCTTTCTTTCTGATCTTCAAGGCCGGTTCATTCGATCTGGCTCACTGTTTCATACTAACTCTATCCAAGGCTCCGGAAATCTCTTGACGGATCCGCAGGTTATGACTTCACCGTGCGCAGTCCACTGCTGTGTCAATCTGCGTGCTCTTGATATCTGACTGGATCATCAGGACTCTCGAACGTGGTCTGTTTGGTGGTGGCAATTCAGGCAGGTTCTTCGAGAAGTTTCCTGAGCAGCATGTATGCTCCGGTTACTGCAAGTTTTTTGGACTGTCTAGTCTCATGTAAGTAGTTACGCTCTATCGCTACTCTACAGTGCATGTACTTGGCCTTTTTCATACATGTTAACGAGCGTTCGGGGTCCAGACAGAGCGCATCATGACATAGAGCGCATCATGACATTGATGCCATGTCGGCAAACTTTCGCGTATCAGTGATATGTCCTCCGCTTATCAGCATATAATTCCCGGCCTCCATAATGAAGCGATCCATGATCCCACGGATGCGGTGCAGTCGACCGACACCATGAAGTGTGACACACCCCCAGACCATGACACTCCCACCACCATGTTTGACCTTCTTTTTGGTGTAGCGTGGGTCGTTTGCCTCTCCCAGACGTCTCCAGCACCATTCCCGCCCATCCGACCCAAAAATATTGAACTTAGACTCATCGGAGAAGATGACGGCGCGCCAGTCCTCCCCACCCCAATAACAATGGTTCTCCGCCCAATCCAAACGCTTCCGGATGTGCTCACGCTTGAGCAGAGGCTTGTTCTGCTTAACAAAGGCCCTCAAGCCCTCTGTCTTGAGGCCCTTGCGGACTGTGTCAACGTGAAAATGGGGGAAGAACTTGCGTTGCAGGTCTGCCGCGTTCTTGGCCTGGCCCGTCGAGAGCAGCTGGACAGCGCGGTGGCAGTCCTTGTCCGTGAATTGACGTGGGCGACCCGTCTTGGACCCTTTGGCCTCAAAATCGTTGGTTCCCGCGTATCGATGGTTGATGCGGTTGACCGTCGAGGGTGCAACATTCTCCTTGTCAGCTACATCACGATCGCTCCAGCCCAGGCCCTTGAGGGTAACAATTGCGGACTTTTTGGCTGGAGTTGTGTCCGAGCGATCCTTGGGCATGTCTGTGTCAGGTTTCGTGGTGAACGGTGATGTGGTTGTGGTAATTGAGTCGAAAGATTGTGGAGCTTTCAAATGTCGAAAAAGAATTGCAACGCGCAATCACATTTGTTGCGTCATTGATCTGTCATGTCAGCATATATGACTCAGATTTTTTATGGACATTTGAGGCTCGATATGGACTACCAAGTGGCCAAAGCTCAGCCTGAACTGCAATGTATTGGGTGCAGGAGAGTGGATACAAAATCTGAGGTATGGTGCTCCAATACTTTTTCCGAGTCAGTGTATCTACTCCTACTCGAACGTCATTCTCGAGGTCGCTGTCGGACATGTAGTCGTATTCGTCAAAAGTTTCGTCAATTTCTAGGTCGCGCGCATCCAGATCGACGAGTTTTGATTCGGAAAAGCCGTCCCCGCTGAATCCAGAGAGGACTAGCGCCGTCATCTCAGCTTTTTGGCAGAGCTACAAACTGCAAGCGACGCACAGGTGTCCAAAGCGACTGAATAGCCCCTTAACGCAGACATTTTCGCATACAGGGGCTTTGGTCTCGAAACGGCCGAGCCGTCCGCCGAGCGCAGGGTGTATGCGTAGAACTTCAGATCAACCGTCTCGGCGCCCGCGAGCGCATCCAGCACAACATCGTTCACTCCACCGCCGGCCGGCCGGGGCTGCGGTACCTGCAGACCAAGCGATTCCGGCAACCGGACGGTGATGGCAACAACAGGGACGTCCTGCGCCTCCCGCCGACGGTAGAACGCGCCGAGCGCGGCAGAGCTGTCCCTGGAGCACGGGAGCCGCAGGTACGCGGCGGTCCTGGACGCGTCGTGGTCCGCAATCAGGTTCTCGTACTCGACGTCGAACGTGACGCGGCCATACGCTGCGCCGGCAACGAGCCCGGGGAGGAAGGATACGGACACACGTGTTTGCGGGGATCCGCTCCCATCGATCGCGGGCCAGCTGGTGCAGCGGAAGTGCCAGCCGAGCCCGCATAGAGGACTTTCATCCGCTCGCGACGGAGAGGAGCCGTCTAAAAAGTGCAGCGCGAGGGTGCTCTTGAAGCCGGACGACGTCCATTCATCGTCTTTGAGTTTGCGCAAGGACACGAAGGTCGGGTCTACATCTCTTTCATACCGACCCCGGCTGGTGACAATCGGACCTCGAACGGGGCTGGGGAATGACGGTGGAATGGCCTTATTCCCTCATCGTCATATTGAGCCATGGGTGCTTGACGCAGATTGACGACTGCAGTGTAATGAGCAAAGTGACATCAGTCACGACTATCTTTGGTAATCACTGATGGCCGGGAGGGACCGAAGCGCAGTACGAGTTTGAATCACATATCGTGTTCCTTGAAAAACACGACTCGCCAACGCAGGCTTGAATCAGAGCGAGAGCCTCGAGAAGCGACCAATCTCTGCTGAGCTTTCAGGTTTTCCATTACTGCAGTCGCGGACTCGCGGTTGTCTAATTTCCCAGCAGGCATGTACGTACGTCGTCTGCGGTCTATTCGGCTGCTAGCGCACGAGGCAGCAACGCTTTCTACTTCTTCCCGCGAACGATGTGACTCTGCCGCTCAAACTCTTTTCTCTCACACGCGCATCTTCCTCTGCTCTTCCCCACTATGTCGCTCAGTCGGATCGAGGAAAAATGGAGTGCATCCAGCATCCAGTCGACTTTGCAGCTGATCGTGCCGTCGCAGACTGTGGGGGACACCTACTACAGCCCTGCGTGTGGCCTGGGCTGGCGATTCTACTGCTCTGTTCAGGCAGTAGAGTTTGGCACCCCTCCACTGCCGAGCGATGTTCCCGTACGACAAATGCCCTGGCGTCGCGTCACGATCTTTTTCGAGCCCTTTCTTCTCCGATCAGCGACATTCGGGCGTTTATCGATCACGGCATCCTGTGACAAGTTATTGTCTCCACTCACAGACGAAGTCCCCAACAACGGCGGAGTCAATGTCATGGATCTCCCCTCCCGTAGCAACTTTCTGATGATAGGAAACTACATGCTCGAGGATGAAGACTATTCCCCCTTGTCCATTGTAGTCAACGTCAACCTTCCATCTACTGCTGCACTGGAGCTTCCCAGCTCAGGGAATGCATCCGGCAACTCGGCGCTCAGCGCGCTGATCCGCGGCGAGGAGCAAATCGACTTCATGCTCCTCGCCTACTCCCGCGTTCAATCTGAGAACGACGAGCGAGTCGCTACCGGCATACACCCGCTCTTCGCAAAGCTGTCCGTGCTCAAAGGGTGCTCGGAGAGACTAGATGACTGTGGGTTCCCTCTCCATACGCCAGCCGTGTTCCTGACTGCACGATCCGTCGCAGATTTGGACGCCTGCTCGTCGTCCTCCGCGTTCTCTGAGTCGCAGCAAGTGGATCTGGATCTATTCGAGCCGTCTGCAAAGGACGAGAAGTTCCCGGACTACGACTATATGTCTGACAGTGACCTGGACGATGATGGGGCCGTTTCAGTTCCCACTCCCGTCATGATCGAAAGCACGACTTCAGGGTCAGCCTCAGCTGCGGAGCTTCAACGGGAGACAACCTTGCCATCTGCTGACGGAAGCTCAGGCGATACCGTCGCGACCACGTTGCCAGCCTGCAAACGCGAGCACAAGCCGGCGACCTCCTCTCGCGGCCGAATGGGTCATGTGCTCGTGGATAAAAGTCATGCATCTCTCACGTGAGTTGTTGCTTTTGTGCCAGAGATACTAAGGAATGACATCGAGTTCACAGTTGGAACGCGCTGTTCTATTACCTATACACGGGAAACATCTCGTTTCGCCGACTCGGAGAGAAAATTGGGACGGACTCAGACATTCCCCGCTGCTCAGCAAAGTCCATGTACAAGCTTGCGGACAAGGTACATTGGATCTGTGCCTGTCTCCTCTGCGATTGACGTCCATCGACAGTTCGATTTAGCCGATTTGAAAACTCGGTCTATGAACTTCATAAAAGGCCAGCTGTCACCCGAAAACATCGTTCACGAGGCGTTCTCCACTTTTACCTCTCTGTAAGTAACAGCAAGTCAGGTCACGTGGGTGTTGGATTTTACCGAGGCACTACAGATTCGAGGAGATCCAAGCGATCGAGGTACAGTATTTGATGACTCAGCTGAAGACACCTGGAGTCAGCGAGCGAATGGCCGACATGATAGATATGGTCAATAACGGCGAACGCAGAGGGACGGTCTTCAAGCTGTTCATTGAGGAGACGAAGAAGAAACTGTAAGATTACTCAGTGGGACTATCATGGAAACAGTTTTGGATTAGAGACGAGAATCTGAAATTGTGTACGCATTGCACCAAACTGCTCTGGTTCTCATCCCAAATTCAACGGTGAGAACCGAATTGGCAGCCCAACCCATCACCAAAGCAAAGACATTGATCGTACAATCTTTTGAACAATAAGAAATCTCGATTAGCTCTAGATGAAATTCTGTGCTTCGAGTGCGGCCGATTGTGGCATATTGAGAAAGTCGATGTATGCGAGAAAGTCGATGTATGCGAGAAAGTCGATGTATGCTGAACATATGACACGTGACCGAGTGAACCTGGCAATTTTGTTTTGTTCTCGGCTCGTCTTTCGTATCCCGATGTGCCGTCATCGCAATTTATCAAGTCAAGGATTCCCACAGGGATGGTTCTCTTTTCGCGTAACAGTCAAGTCGAGCCCAGGTTGTAATCCCTTTTGAACTTGGGTCAGTGCAAAGAATTCTCGGGGAAAATCGATTGATAGAAAGGTGCGCTGATTGACTCTAAGTTTGACACAGCTACTAGCTGAGTGAATGGAAATACCACATGAAGCTATGCTCAGCTGACAGACTTAGCCCACCAAAGTCTCTTGCAACCCTCCCATCAACAGGAAAATAGATCGCATCGCCCCTCAATATTGCCGAGAACAGCATTCATCATTCTTCTCAGCCTATGGACTTCGACAAACAAGGAGGCCCGAAATCCTCTTACACAAACTCCCACTTGACGCCATGCAGCCTGCCCACACTGAGCGACGCAAGCTTCTTGAACCCAGCCTCCGTGAAGTCAAGATCGGCCGCGCCGGCGCATCCGGCGCAGCGGTCCTCGACTGTCGCGACGACTGACTTCCCTTTGACTGGATCACGGCATCAGCGGGATCCAAATCGGGATGGCTGATGGGACCTACAGGTTGCCTTGATCTTCTTGCCGCAGATGGGGTTCCTGGAGAGTCAAATCAGCGTTGGTGAGCGGAATCAGGTTGGGAACTGCTTCAGACTTGTTGGGATTGGCGGTCGCGCCCCTGTGAAAGAAGATGAGAAGACCAGTGGAGAATAGCAGAGAAATCAAACGCACGGGAAGGAGTCGAAGACGCCGTGGCCCACGGCGACGATCAGGTCGGAAGCTTTGTTCGTCTTCCCGCACGCACCCAGACCCGGGGCGAAAAATGTTCCTGGATCCGCTGTTTCAGCACACGGATCAATCGCGCTGGGAAGAAGCGATACTTACCGTCTCCGGTGTGCACCACAGGCTTCGCCTTGAACACGGGGGCAGCTTGGACGAGCGCAAACGCGAGAGCGAAGAGGAAGACAGCCACGAAGCGAATGGAAGGCATATTGAGAAAAATGAGAGACCAGCTCAGTGAAAGGAAGTAGGAGTTGAACGTTCTGGACGATGCTGTATGCGGTCCTCCCTGGAGGCCCTATATATGTTTCTGCGACAGTGCCTCACAGAACAATTGCCGCGGAAGACATAGTGACGGAGGCAAGATGTGTTACCATCTGGAAGAGACGACTGTCCGAGTTGCAATCAAGTAAGGAGACCGAACGATCCCGTGATGACTGCACGAGATCGTAGCCAGACATAAGCCGTGTTGAACATCACTAGATAGTATGGTATTGCCGGGTATAACTTAAAGTACATAAAACATGCAGAATGAGCTACTCGGAGACAAATTGAGATACAAATACAGATTTGCTACTTTGTCCCTCAGATTAAAATAGGCAACGTTCTTATCGAGCCATACACAGCCGCCAGAAGCTGGGATTCCAGAAACGTGAGAAACCGGAAAAAGCCGATTCAGAGCAGTGACGCACGCTCCACCGCACAAATGGGCGACTCGCGTCGAAGTGCCGCGCTCAGGGCAGCGCCGTCCACATACTTGGCAACGGCTCTTCAAATCGATCCATCTCCTACGCTGCCAGTTCCCGCGAACTCCGTCTCCTTGCCGGTCGCCGTCGTCGTTGCCGCGGCCGTCGCATTAGCATCGACAGCGAGTCGAGATTGATGTCGCCGGGATCCAGGAGACCGAAAGAGGCCCAGGTCCAGCCAGGCATGAGCCATTCGCCGGGTATTGTTCGACCGCCCAACGAGGCGATGCCTGAGCGGAGGTGAGCTGTTGCGACACCATCAGATGATTCAGATCCTGGCGGAGGGTGCCGCCGAGAGGTTGGACGTTGGGATAGCGTGCTGCGTGGATTGCTCGAGGATTGTGTTCTACCCCGTGCGCGTGTCCGATTCCTGCACCTCATGTGTTCGGGCGGTGGTAGTGGTGGTGGTTGCGGGAAGAGTCGAATTGATGCCCGATCATGCACGGAGTCACGCCACCTTGTACTCATTGCGGACAGCATGCGGGCTGTACCCCTGCGAGTGCCCACGCTCGGACCCGACTCAGAGATGCCCTTTTCTTTCTCTCTTCGTGACTCTGACTGTTGCAAACACTCGATCTTGACTCTGTCGCAGCAAGGCGGCCGGCCCGGTCAACCCCGGGATCACGATGATGCACTCACGGATCTTATCTATATGCTGATATCATTCCCACAATCTCTTCATCAATTCATTTTCTGATGCTTTTCTCGTCGAACACACCCCAATTCCTCGATCGCGATGTTCGATGTGGATGATTTGTACTGCAAGAACAGGTCCCGGATGCGCCCACCCTGATCGGTGCCAGTTGTGCCATGCGCGTTGCTCCAGGCTAACGGTGGCCGTCGCGGTCAATCTCTGGTGGTCAGATCCTCGAGGTGAGTTAGCCTTATGGATACCGACGAACGACGTAGGACAAGATCTTCGAAACACGAGACCCGTACATCAGACTACCACAGAGTAGCTCATTCCGTCTTCATGGATAACGCGCAGGGTGAATTGCAGAGGCCATTCAACGCCAATCGTTCCTTGAATTCGCTCTTCTGATGAGCAGCCCAATGCGATGTCTCTGTCTCGTTCAGGTGTCAGCCCAGCCTGTTTCAGCTGGAGAACCTTCCTCCTCAAAGATCCCGCATCGTTGTCCCGATCGGGAATGACGTTTGAAGTTATCGATAGATTGCGATCACACTCTAGTTTCCAGAATGCGGGGAGGGGGGAACCCAAAATGTGATTAGGACGAGCACGAGACACGACATGATACGTGGCGCCAATGTCGCGGAATGCCAGAGACACAACTCTCAAGAGAGCGATGGGACGATGCAAATGGTTTATAGCACAATGGGGTTACACAGGAAACGAGAAAGACGAGAATGAATGCAGGCGGTGTTTAGTTGATCCCTAACAACTCCACCTCGAAGCAGAGAGTCGAATTCGGGGGAATGACCGGCGGGAAGCCGCGCGAGCCGTATGCCTGCAGGACGAGATATCAGCGGCGGTTGTGGGAAACGAACGAACGCGATGACGCACGAAATCGGGGGTGACGGTCAATTTGGCCTTGGTGCCGATGGACAGCTGTGGAACACCTAGATGACGCAGCACATCAGCATAATCGAAGCGACATCGCCGCAGACGCGATGGAGCAGGCGGCATGACGCACCCTCGTCCCAGCCCTTGATGACCTTCCCCACCCCGATCTCAGTCTCGAATGGGTTCCCCCTGAGAAAGAAGCTCAGTACGCGCATCCTGCTGCGACGCGATGGCTCACCGATCGCGACTGGAGTCGAATTTGTCCCCGTTCAGCAGCGTGCCCACGTAGTGGATAGTGACGTGGTCTGGCGACCAAGTAAGAAAGATGCCTTCGCGTGGCGCGGCCAATAATGAGCAAGAGACGTACCGCCCCGCTGGGGGAACCGCACACCGTCGCCTTGCTTCAGCACTTCGATGGTGACACCCTGCACGTCAAAGCGGGAAATTAAGTGAACGGCGTTTCATTAGCGTGTGGCGTACTAACCATGTTGATGATGTGGAGATGATGGTGGGCGGGAGGGGTAGGGAGAGGGAGAGGAGCCTGGCGATCGCTCCTCAGCTTAAATACGCACTAGTCGTCGGGTATCGGATCTGGATCCGATCATTCGGGATGTCCCGATCGGGTCTTCAAAAATGGACCCCCGAAATCTCATCGATATCGATGAGACGGCCAACGTAGAATGCAGTGGAATGGAAAAAGGACAACATCTTAGAAGGTCACAGAAGCCTGTCAGAAGCGGACGCACCACGATAACGCTTGGATCAGTCCAAACGAAGGGAAAGTGGTAGGCCTATTTCCCCGAGGTAGCTGCTGTAATCCCCCCTCCCGAGGAGATGGTGCTCGATAATGACGGCGAAAAGAGCGCTGAAACCGTCCCTGACGTCCAAGAGTGTCTTCTAGCGATTTCTGGTTGCATTCGGCGCAAAACCTTCAGCGGCCACTCATCGTTTGCGCCAGTCTGGGGTAATCTTGTAGATGGTTCTTTCCCAGCGCCAACCTGACTGGCCGTTCATCAATTTGGATCAAGCCATGAGGTAGTCTATGCGAATGATTGGCCGGGTTTCGACGGCGAGTTTGAGTAATCGAAGTGATGACTATTTCGCACCGGCACCCATTCTCTGCATGATCAAAAACAGAGTCTCCGCCGCATGGGGTTTCTCTCCCTCACATATGTTCTGCACCATCGCACGCAGTCCCTCAGCGGCCTTCTTCGAGAAGTTGGAAGTCAAAATGCCAACTTCGAGTTCTTGAATCACAGGGTATCTGCAATGTGTATCAGCTCAGCGTGGAGATCGATTGTTCAGCACGGGGAGGGTGACATACGTGGAGGTGAATGACGAAAACACCTCTTCCAGGATGTTGGACTCCGCTAAACTCGCAGAGATGCGTGCCTGGGAAAGCATCTTCAGCTCATCCAGCCCCAGCTGCAGCTGTATTGAGCCAAGGCGCGAGAATCAGGCGCGATAGAGTTACCTTGTCCGCGAGCCGGTACATTGATTTCGGGGAACAGATCGGACCTTGCACTCTGCTTGACGCTTCTGCCGGCTCTGGATTCGACCGCAGAGAACGGAAGTGGATCTCGCCCGTGTAAAGGTACATGAGGAGCGCTTTTAGGCTGCCCACATTCAGTTGGGATAGGAAACCACTACTTGACGGTGGACGCACGTTTTGTAAGCCGTGTCTTTCACGACAACGACCCGACCTCTGCGTGCGAACCGACCCGCTGTGTCAGCCTTCTCGGCTTCGATTTTCATAGTCTTTGGTGGCGGCGCCGCATCAATTTCTTGATCAGAGTCCAAATCGCTATCCAGTTCGTAGCTGTATTCGTCGAATGTGCTTTCAGAGGGCTGGTCAATGTCGAGATCACAAGGCACGGATTCGGAAAAACCGTGCCCAGAGACGAATGTTCTATAAATAAGTTCGAATATTGGAAGCGAGGGTGGTGGTGCCCGCTACATTGATCCAGATCTTCCGAGAAACCCTTCAAGAGCGACGCCTTGGCGAATAGCGGTAGAGGACAGCTCACGCTCTGCGGCTGAGACCTGTCTCTGCGACTGAACGCGTAGAATTTGATGTCCACAAGTTCTTCGCCCTCCAGAGTCTCCCCCAGGGCACGTTCAATGCGGTGATCCAGCGGAGTTGGGAGCGTCAGTCCAAGAGTGGGTGAAAAGGTGATCGTCACAGTGACACGGGGAGGTCTGGCGTTTCCTGGGTACGTGTGAAGTCCCAGGTTGGCTGTATGGCGAGGATCGCTGGTGGGAAGACGAAATTTGATGGGGACAATCTCCACGGTAGGAATCAAGTGTCCGACTTGAACCTCCAGCGTCAGTTCGCCATATTTCGCCGCGCCGATGAGATGAGGGTCGAAATATAGCTGCACCTGATAGGACTGGATGGCTTCCCCTGAGTCACTCACAACAACAGTCTGCGCGGAGGATCGGTCGATCTTCACAGAAAAACGCCAGCCCAGGCCGCACACAGGGGTGTGAACAAGACCTGCACCCAGCGCCGTCGGAACGATCAAGTCCTTCGACTCGACGGTTTCCCGTGTTTGGATCTCGAATATTGCTTGAACGCCAGTCGTCGTCCAGGTTTCAGATAATCTGTCCATGCACCCCAGGGACCTCCAATTATTACGTAAAATGGCTTCGAGGCCCCCTCCGGAGGCCATCAAACCACCCCCTACCCCCCCTGATCGGAGGCCATCCTGGAGGCGCCTTCCTAATTGGTACTCTGCCCAGCCATTCATCCACAGCCAGCATGGTAGGCTAGGCATTGACCCGAGTGTTTTTATATGCTGTAGTAGTCAGTATAAAGCCTCAGACAATGTCTTAGCTCACAAAAGCTTGTATTTCTTGCTTGCAAATGGCAGACCACTGGGCGCACAAAATTTGGGATTTGAGCACATGAGCACTCCTCAGGTGCATAGAGCAGCAGTATATATGTTAATTCAAGATTGAGCATGAGGTAGCTGTGCCCACACGCAAAAATGAGATGTTGCTGAAGGGATGGTTTATGGCCTCCACAACCTCCCAGGGGCAGAAAAAAAAGTGTTGGGTAGCCCACAGGCCCTTGAATTCTGCTTCAATAGATCAATTTGATGCTTATGCTTTGTCAAAACAACAGCCCAGCATATAAATTGGATGCTGGAGCAGTGGCAGAACAAGCCTCCACCGCCTCCAGGGCTGGGGACCAAAAGCGGTTATTGTAGATTCAGCCACATAAACCATATTTCTGATGTTGTTTGTCCTAGTCAGAATGTCTGGGTATTCAAGAGAGACAGGTGGCTACATAGATCAGATGCTAGCACCAATAGCAGAACTGGCCTCCATGGCCTCCACAGCCAGTGACCAAAAGCGGTTTTTTGGGTTCAGCCACATAAACCATGTCCATGATGTTGAAGGTCTTCATTATAATTATGAGGGTCCTTTAGTTAAATGTCTCACCACGTGAATCAGATGCTGGAGCAAATGGCAGAACTGGCCTCCGCTGCCTCCACAGGTTATCACTTGAAGAGTCTGAATGAGATGACAATGTAAGAGATATATATTCTCCTGGCTGACGCGGTCATTCTGTCATTTCCACCTCTACATGCTAGTTTAATTGCTGCAGAATGTTAAAATTAGAGGATGGGAGACCCTGGAGGCACTGGAGGCACATGCAAGATCCAATCAATGTCATCAATATCATCAGTGCCATCAATAGCATCAAGAGCATCACCGATCATTGGTAGATTGATCAGCCAATCAGATGATGAATAAACATCGAACATCTAGTATGTTCATTCCTGAGAGACACAGACTACATGTATGCTCATATTAAAAGTGGATTAGTGGTCCCAGGACATGCCCCAATGACATATTGCATGCTTGTGTCAGGGACATATGATTAAAAATCGGAGTTGGCAAAGGAGCTGAAAGTCAACTGAAGATGAGTGGTACAGTGGAGTACTTTCAGCTCATTTGCCAACTCCGATTTTTAATCATATGTCCCTGACACAAGCATGCAATATGTCATTGGGGCATGTCCTGGGACCACTAATCCACTTTTAATATGAGCATACATGTAGTCTGTGTCTCTCAGGAATGAACATACTAGATGTTCGATGTTTATTCATCATCTGATTGGCTGATCAATCTACCAATGATCGGTGATGCTCTTGATGCTATTGATGGCACTGATGATATTGATGACATTGATTGGATCTTGCATGTGCCTCCAGTGCCTCCAGGGTCTCCCATCCTCTAATTTTAACATTCTGCAGCAATTAAACTAGCATGTAGAGGTGGAAATGACAGAATGACCGCGTCAGCCAGGAGAATATATATCTCTTACATTGTCATCTCATTCAGACTCTTCAAGTGATAACCTGTGGAGGCAGCGGAGGCCAGTTCTGCCATTTGCTCCAGCATCTGATTCACGTGGTGAGACATTTAACTAAAGGACCCTCATAATTATAATGAAGACCTTCAACATCATGGACATGGTTTATGTGGCTGAACCCAAAAAACCGCTTTTGGTCACTGGCTGTGGAGGCCATGGAGGCCAGTTCTGCTATTGGTGCTAGCATCTGATCTATGTAGCCACCTGTCTCTCTTGAATACCCAGACATTCTGACTAGGACAAACAACATCAGAAATATGGTTTATGTGGCTGAATCTACAATAACCGCTTTTGGTCCCCAGCCCTGGAGGCGGTGGAGGCTTGTTCTGCCACTGCTCCAGCATCCAATTTATATGCTGGGCTGTTGTTTTGACAAAGCATAAGCATCAAATTGATCTATTGAAGCAGAATTCAAGGGCCTGTGGGCTACCCAACACTTTTTTTTCTGCCCCTGGGAGGTTGTGGAGGCCATAAACCATCCCTTCAGCAACATCTCATTTTTGCGTGTGGGCACAGCTACCTCATGCTCAATCTTGAATTAACATATATACTGCTGCTCTATGCACCTGAGGAGTGCTCATGTGCTCAAATCCCAAATTTTGTGCGCCCAGTGGTCTGCCATTTGCAAGCAAGAAATACAAGCTTTTGTGAGCTAAGACATTGTCTGAGGCTTTATACTGACTACTACAGCATATAAAAACACTCGGGTCAATGCCTAGCCTACCATGCTGGCTGTGGATGAATGGCTGGGCAGAGTACCAATTAGGAAGGCGCCTCCAGGATGGCCTCCGATCAGGGGGGGTAGGGGGTGGTTTGATGGCCTCCGGAGGGGGCCTCGAAGCCATTTTACGTAATAATTGGAGGTCCCTGGGGTGTGTCCATGTGTTTAGAGCAAGTAGCAAACCGGTCACGGTACCGGGTACTTGAATGAACCGTGATCACACGTGATGAGACCTCTCAAGAACGACGATCACATGTACATTTGAGGTGTCCGCAGCCGCTGTCATCTTCACCCCAGTCTTCTAATGCATCTCACCGATGCAAGTGACAGATTCTCGGTCTTCAAGCTCTTGACTCAACAGACAAACCGCGATCGGGCCACTGAGGCACACATTCTCGGAACCAATTGCGTCGTTGGGGCCAAGACTAGAGAGGGCAGAATATCCCATGCGGCATCAAAGAACCACGGGCGCCGTCTAGCGATATTACCGCCCGAGCCCCGCCATATAAGGGTCCACGACAAATTCGTTGTCCCCCCACCCGTCTTTCTCTCGCACTTCGAGGCTTCCGTTTTCTACCCCATCTCCTTCACCGGCTAGTTCACTCTTCGCCTAGGCTGTGCCTCATTTGCCCCACTATCCTTCATCTATCGCATTCCTTTGCCGCTACACACTCCTTCCACTACACACAATGCAGTTCAAGTTCTTCACCGTCCTCGCGCTTGCCGCCACCGCCTTCGCTGCCCCCGTGACCGTCGAGAAGCGTTCGGCTCGTACCTTTGCCCAGCTGACCATCTCCGGTGGAGTGGGCGGTAACGCGCTGGCGGAGGCCAAGGCCAAGTTCCCCGCAGGCAACTTGTCCGCGACTCAGGTCCAGGACTTCAACGTGTGTCCGCTGATGACTCATTGTCCCTCTGTGTCCTGACCTATCGCTGCCTAGACTGAGGCCCACTGCGCCGTCCTGGCCGAGTCGGCCTTCGTCGCAGCCGGCAAGTCCAGCGCGATCAGCGTTGGCTTGACCAAGAACAAGGTGCTCAAGATCTGGGGCACTATCGTTGCGCTCCAGGGCCAAATCCAGAAGAGCGGTGGCAAGGCCTCTTCTTCGCAGACCGTACGTTCCGGCTCGTCTTTGCGGGCACATACACCCTTGTCTGACCGACGCATCGCTCCAGGCCCACCTCAACGAGCTCCAGACCAAGCTCGGTGTCAACGTTGCGATCGACCAGAAGAACGCTGGCAAAGCCAGCAAGACTGTCTCCTTCAACTGCTAAGTGGATGCAGGTAGCCGTTTGCGATCTATTTTCTCCTCCATTTTCTGGCACCATGGTAGTACAAAGTTCAGAAAGCCGAGACGGAGCACACAGGAGCACGTTGTACAGTACATACAGCTGCTCTTCAATGCATGGGTCATACAACAGAACGAATGACGTCTGGATCGGCGACGGGAATCGACGCACTGGCGTTCATCCCTCGTGCTTCAGTGCTAGCGCTGGCGGTATGCGCACGATCCTTGTGTTATTGGTCTTCTTGAGTCTGACTGTGCCAACGCCTTGTATTCCATAGCAGTACCCCTCATGAGCACACGGCAGTCACTCTGGCACATCTTTCAATCTTGACGGTGGACACAAGCACGGGAACGGCAATATAGCATATGTGATAGAGAGCATAGACATAACAACATAACATACAAACCAGCTCAAAGATGTTTCCATGATAGAGGAGGAAACGCGGCCTGGCCAGGACATGGCTTCGGTCCACATCAATCAGACTCTCCGCAATCAGCCAGATAGTCTGCCCAGAATCGACTGCATCAAGGCTGATATTGCCCTATTCTTACTGTCTTCGCCAGTCGCAACATCGAGCTCGCCCCTGCGCATGACCGCGATCAACTTCAGCGCGCGTTTCGACAACGGCTCAGCCTGCGACCAATGAGCGCGGCGATAGACTTCCTCGAAAAGCGCCGTAGCATCCCCGTGCTCCTGGAGCATGGGAAACACGAGCGTGATTCCGGCATCGTAGAGCGCCTTTTTGAGACTCGGATGGGCTGCGGCCAAAGGCAGGAGGAGCTGCTCGGTGACGACGTCCCTGAGACACGAGTCGGGACCCAAATGCGACTGGAGATGCCGCATCTTCAGCGACCGGGATTCCACGCTGCAGCCACCGTCAGCATCCGGCAGCCGGTCAAGGGGGTCATGTCATAACTCACGTGTCGGGCAGTAGCAGATAGAGTACCCGACTTAGCACGGAGACCTTGCTCCGATAGGTCCACTTGATGATCTTGTCCATGATTCTTGCCAGAACGCTGCCCCCGAGGGCGACGCATCGGATGAGGTGCCACAGGGCTTCCGACGAGCTTTGTCCCCAGTGCAGCATGTCCTCCCTTTCGGCAGTGTGAGGGAGAAGCCGAGAGCGATGAGCACACGTACATGTTGTTCGTCCCGGCGAACGGTGACAGAGTGAAATCTTTGAGCTGCGGAAAGATAGCATCATCCACCGACCGGCCAGCGTCGAGCGGGAATGTCATCGACACCATACGATCCAGCAGAGCATCGGTCTCCCGCTCGAGAAACCGGGCCTCGACAGTCCGCCAGGTCCCGGGCGCGTGTCGGTTGATGTGTACAGTAAGTTGGCGGAGCGACGGTGGGGGAAAGGGGGCTTCGGGGTAGTATTGCACGAGCGCAGCCTCCCACACCTCTTCCAGCCCTGGCGGCGGTGCTGACATGGCCGTAAACGCGCGGGTCGCATCTTGACGCAGAGTCGGGCGTTTCTGCTGATAAGCGGTGGAGAGGAGGATCAACTCGAGAAAGCCGGAGAGCAGTGCGGCCTCGTAGAGAGTGTCGTTCTGAAGCACGAGTTCTGTGAGGAAGGTGATGCAGGGCATGAGTGAATTCTGTCCATTCGGTAGCGCAGAAAGGTATGCGGATGTCAGATTCGGGTTCAAGAAACTGGAAGCCGTGTCAGTGAAGGGAAGTGCATGGGCTGCCGGGCTAGACGCACTCGCATTTACAATATAGCGCAACAGAGATGAGCTCCGTCATGAACAGAATGACATCGTCCAGCAGCCATTGGGAGAGACATTGAACGAGGTATTCCGTCTGCGACGTCGCGACCTGGACTAGTACCATCGCCATGGCTGGGATCCGGATGCTATCCGCGTAGAGTTCGGGGCTAGTCAGTTACTCGGTCAGTTCCGCAAGCTCTGAACCTCTGCCGACTGACGCGCACCGGGTCAGCTCCAGCAGATCATCGAATATACCCTCCCAGAACCACCCGTCCTCGTTGTCGTCATCATGATCCGCCGCAGACCACGGTAAATGCGCGCGTATTACCGCCATGCGCCGCTTGATCACCAGCCGCTCGGCGCCTCGCAAAACCGCCTTGCCCATCGCATGGACCGCTTTCCCGCTCAAGGCACCCGGGCCCCACTGGGTCGAGGCGCTCGTGGCCGTATACAGGGACGGGGGCTTGGCCCGGCGCGAGGAGAGCAAGGCCGCGATGGAGTGTGCCGAGCCGAGCAGGGACGAGCGCGTGGACAGAAGGGAGAGTAGGGATGCGTTGGCGAAGGTCGACGTGCGGGGCGGAGGCGCGGGGACGGACATGGCAGCCTTCTCCTTCGGGGAGGAGGGAGCCTTGGCAGAGCGCGAAAACATTGCTAGCGACGGAGTCGGGGGGAAGAGCACGAAGTCCACCGCGCGACGTCTCAGGGACCTGAAGATCTATTGCTCACACATGATGCGCTCCAAGCCGGCTCCGCGATGAAGATTGATATGGCGGCAGGGAATCAACAGATCGTAGTTTAGAAGATTCGAGGCTTGATGACGATGGAAGAAGCTGAACATAGCGTCCAATGGAGGATCTCACAATTTGAAGCGCGGCGTCCGAGGCCCCCGTGCGGCTTTCGAACAGACGCGGTTGCTGATCGGTGCAGCAGGTGGTCTGGGGTAACTCGACTCCTCACTGAGAGGAGTGCACGTGATCTACACGTGACATGTTCCAGAATGATGTTCCCTGGACCGATATATGATGAGCATTCGCAGCTGAAATGAGTACAGACGGGATCTCTGGAATATGTGCTAGCTCCCAGAAACGCATCCTGTTCGAGCGAGTTCCGTTAACAATTCACATCATCATTCTATCATCCACCACTATTTACTACCCGCTCTTGATAATCATGGATTCAGTTCTTCTGCTGTTGACGGTAAGACCCATTCGCAGGGCTGCGCCAGATTTCTTATCGATGCTCCACCAAGACCAAAAAAGGGACTCCCATCTGTATAATCAGGATTTGACTCTGGGCCGGCCTGATCCGGACTCTGGGATCCGACTGTGCCTGCGCTACCGGACGGGACCCTCCGCACGATTCTACTGCATCTTACAGCCTAGCAGGACTCTAGTGAACCCTCAATCCTTGGACCCTTTATCCCGCCGATGTTCAAAGGGTGGCCCCGTTCACCTGATGGCTGTACTTGATTTGCTGGTTCAATGCGGCAGATCTGCCTCAGCGATCACCATTGTAGCAAGTTTATGGATTTCGGAACGAGATCAAATGGGAGGCGGATTCTGGTAGTTTCATTTGACCGCCACCAAATGCTGGATAAAATAGGCATTTATACTGAGAAGTTTACTTACAGCGACCCATTTCTGAGCTTGTGGCAACCAAGCTTCTTACGGGTTCCAACCCATTTTAAGACGCACATAAGCAGACAACTTCATTCAATCTCCACAGAAAATCAATTTATTGGCTGTGCATAAGGCGACTACTTCCACTCGAATGCTATTCATCCACACTGGCTTTAAATGAAGTTCCAGGTGACACCGAAAATACGGCCGACAGAGGGATCCGCAAGCTGGGAGAATGCCGCGGGACTGAAGTCGAGGTCGCCGGTCCCCGCGCAGCCTGCACAGCGGTCTGTGACAGTGGCGACGACGCTCCGTCCTTGGACTGTGCATGTTGGTTAGCTCTGTCAAGAGACAAAGATGAGTGGGGCAGACAACTGCTCACAGTTAGCGACGATCCGTCTGCCGCAGATGGGGTTCGCATTCGGGTTGCTCGTTGCGCCACTGTGCCGGAGAGTGAGTCAATGCACTCTTGCGATGTGAAAAAAAAAAACACAAACGGGAATGTATCGAATACGAAGGCACTCACGGCGACGATAAAGTCGGCATTGGTGTTGAAGATCCCACAAGCGCCGAGTCCCGGGTTGAAGAAAGTACCTAAAAGACAATGTTAGCCACGGAGAGAGAGGGAGGGCTAAGGATGCATCGTCGTACCGGAGCCTGAGAATGACTGGGCTGAAGTGAGCAGAATCGGCGCAGCAGCGAGGAGTGCGAGAGTGCGTTTGGCGAGAGCGAACATGTTTCGAGAGGTGGTAGTTTCTCTGCAGGCTGACCTGGCAGCCTTTTATAGCCACAGAGTGTATTCCAGAGCCAGAACGGCCTGATAGACGTTGTCGTCCTGGTTTGCGTATGGAACAGCATGTCGTAAGATGGGCTTCCCGTTCAAATGTCTGGGTACGACATTCCGCGAACCGACTTATTGAGTTCAATCGGCCGTGTCCCGCATTTCAAGAGGATTCGGCATGGTTTGTTCAATTGTTGAGGAGGTGCCTGTGAACGTCTGGGTGACTGTCCTCCCGCAGCTGTCCAGACCGTTATCCATTCATCCAACTGGTTGGTCGGTCGATATAACCGCTTGGATCATGGATCCGGTCTTCAGAGGGCTGCCGAACCGCTCAATCGTCGCTTTCCGAAAACAATCGAGTGAGCGACAGATATAACAGACCGAAATAGACCGGCGCCATCGGGACTTCAAAAACAGGGTATACATATGAGCGCTGTCAGTCTACTCACCATGTATGCAGCAGAACTCGCACAGACAATGCCGATTGAGATCATAGCGCGCCGATCACCATTCGATAAGTTGTTGCTTAGAAATGCCAAGTGCAAGCGGGCGACCGAGACGGCTTTTACGCGAGCAATGTCGCGATCTATGCGACAATGGGCCAGCGCTCGACAACGGCATCCCGAGCGGCTCCAAACAACGTTTTAGCAGCAGTTTTCATGTGAGAAATGCAACTGTATATAATCAACGGAGGTCTGAGAAACACTGCCCAAATAGATGTCTGGTGTGTGAAGAGAGCCCAGAGCTGCGTCAAAAGAGGTGTACGAGGGGCTGACGCGTACTAGGTCTTCCTCGGCCGTGTGCAGGGGCAGAGAATGATCGCAACTCTCGCTTCAAGGAAGCGCAGAAGTGTCTGAAGGCGGTTACATGCGAAGTCCACCGCGAATGAGTGGAACGGCGCAACATCGTGTGACCACCAAGCAGGTATTTGCTTGTGTGGTCAAATAAATGACACATGATTCGAGAGAGAACCGAAGTGTTTCGCTTGGTGAACTGATTCGGAGTGCACTCAAAGACATTCCTCCAGCCTGGATATATACATACCAAAAAACAGCAAACGAACGTTTATTTTCGAGAGATTCAGATCACGAGAGAGAAAAACAAAGACCACTACAGATAGATAGCAGCAGGTCCATTCGACGACTTGAGCACGGCCTCGCCGCGCGCCTCATTTTCGCGGTCCCAGTACACCGACCCCGCGACCGTGCCTTTGCTGTGCATGCGGGTGACAAGCTGGCGGGAGCGCCCACACGACGGGCCGCGGCGGCGGCACTTGGGGTCCGGCACGTCCGGGTTTGCCTGGTGCACGGCCGTCGCTGCGTTCGACGTGGCGACCTCGAAGGTGCCCTCGTAGGTCGCGGGGAGCTCGAGCACGGCGAGGGCGTTCGACGTCCGCGCGTTCACGCGCAGCGTCGTGTCGATCGGCGCGGACAGGATTTTCGCGGACAGCTTGCCGTTGGAGGTGGCGACGTCGACGGGGAAGATGCCGCCGGTTCCGGACGGGGTCGAGAGCTTGATCAGGGCGTCGAGCTCGCTGTGCGCGATCAGGTCACGTCTCAGACTGGATCAATCAGAGATCACACGCACTGATTGGAGGTGTAGATCGATACTTTCTTGGCCACACTCGGGTCGTCGCTGTTCATCGTCAGATCCACGATGACTTTGCCGTTGCTGGTGTCCAGGTTGAATGATTCGGAGGCGACGAATTGCCCAGAAACCTGACTGTTTGAAGACTTGAGCTTGATGGTAGGTGAGACGAGCCGCTGAGCAAACGTGAGTAAGCTGCGTCCGAGAGAAGTGCACCGGCTACTTACGTCTGCCACGATCTTGCCGTTCGACGTCGTCAGAGACGCATTTCCCGCACGCACGGACTACATGACATGAGCAAAGCCCGTGGAGCACAAACAAAGCACAGACCTGCGTGTGGATGTCCCCATTCGAGCCCCCCAGATTGAGTGTGCCAAACTCGATCAGTCCGGCGAACAAGTCGACGTCGTGTGCGAAGTTGCTGACGTCGGTCTCGAGCGCGTTGACGTGTGAGACCCCGCGTGGCAGGACCAGCTCGACGCGGAAGAAGAGGCGGGGGAATCGGCCGTACGTGCGCCAGTACTTCGGTGTCTACATGTGCCGCCGTCCGTCAAGCCAAACCAACCAGATGAACTGACGCGAGAAGCCCACGCACAAAGATTCCAAGCCCGGCTTCCCCTGCCTCCCGCTCGACCATGCAGATCTTCGCAAGATCCCTGACGGTCTTCTCGTCGTAGTCGACCGTCACGCGCACCTGCACCTCATCGCCGGTGCCCGCGGACACGTGCAGGCGCCCCGCGGAGAGCGCGCCCTTGGAGAGCAGCAGCAGCGTCGCGTCGGGGACGGGGAACTTGAACGTCTTCGTCGCGGCGTACGCATACGTCGAGAACGGCGGGTTGCGCGTGACCTCGCTCAGGCCCCACTGCGACACGCAGCGGTTCGTCGAGACCTCCGGCGGGATCGGGTACGACGCGCCGCGGCCGATGAGCGACTGGGCTGCGTGGGCAGCACGAAGGCGGACGGGGAGGATGGATGACGCACCTTCTCAGACATGCTGCGCACCAGCGCTCCAAACAGCGACCAGATCAGCACAGCGACGACGAAGGCCTTCGCGAAGCGCTTCCACGTCGGCTCGGGCGGCGATGATTGCATAGCATTCGGGGTCGGGTATACGGCCTGATAGTAGATCGGACCAGGGGGGGAGGGCGCTCCCGGCTGGCGAGCCGAGTACGCAGGGGGCGGAGCGCTCCCACTGGCCCCGTTCGCCGTATTGGGGAGCAGCGGAGTCGTCGCCTTCACCGGGCTCGCGGGCGTGTCTTCGGTGATGATCATGGCGGAAGGATGAGGTTAGCGGAGGAGGGAGAAGTGAAGGGATGCGATTCGAGTGGTGGGGGGAAAGTTTTGAGTAAGGGCCCCCGATCGCAGTCGCTGCGGTGATGCCATTAGAAATGCTCTGATCGGCTGCGGGGTCCTTACTGATCCCGTGCCGATGAACTCGTAGGGACTGCAAGACGAGTCCCGAAGCGGACAGTTCTGCGGCGGGCATTGCAGGTAAGAGGACATTGCGAGGCAATTGACCGTACTCAGAGAACACGTTTCTTGCAGGGATCGAATCCTGCCGGATTCCGGCGCCGTAGCTGCCCGAGATCAGCATTCCGTTGACCCCATACTTCGATAAGACCGGAGCCTCCGGTCCGGTGCTTATCAGTTTCGATGACTCGGCTACGAAACCTTGACTTGGTTTGCACAGATCCCTGGTCACTCAGGCATATATCTCTCCGTGGCATGACCCAGATTTACTTTAAGTTTTCGCGCACTCAGACCTACTCTTAATCGATTTTCGGAGGGCATGATCCATTTTTTTTGCTGCAGAACTGGTGCTAGACAGGCTAAAATCTCTGTTCAGATACCCCATAATCACTTGTAATGAATGATTGAGCAGAATCTTCCTATTTTAAGACCTGATTGGCCGACATTGTCCAGCTTTCTGGAGATATCGTATATTAAATCCCTCGCCTGCGACCAAATTTACCCTATTTCCGGAGCGACTGACAGGTTCTGGACCATCTTTTACTCTGTTTTGTGGAGGGGAAATAACACTTTTGGACCAAGATTTAGTCTATTCCAAGGGACCTATGCCTGAGTGACCGGGGACCTGCTTGCACACTCGGCGTACGGAGACCAAGGACACACTCGTCAATGGGATTGAACACAAAGCTGAGAGCCAGATCCAGTGCATTTCACTGCAGACTGTAATGAACACAACCACACGGCCAGCAACTTGATACCGTTTTGCCACGTTAGTTTTCAGCTCAGCAATCGAATGTCAAAACATCCTTTGAGCCGACGAAATGCGGTCGCTGCAACTGAACAAACCCGTGGATTCGTGCAGCGATGAGAGCAGATTTTTCACGCATTACAAAATTGTAACGAAATTCTCGACTTGATCATCCAACACCTGCTAGTCCTTCACCACGCAATCTTCGCCAGTAAGCCCTTCGGGTGCGCGCGATTCCACCACTTGCGCATCTCGTCCAGGAACAGCAGCCCCAGCCCATACCTACCCCGTCGTCAGTCAACACAAACGAACGACACCAAACAGAAAACAGCGCCACTCACGCGATGGGCAGGAAGAAAAACTCGGCGGGGATCCCGCGCGTCAAAAACACGCGCTGGAACCACGGCACGTACGAGAAGAAGATCGCGAGGACCAGCGCGCACGCCATCGCGGGGAACAGCAGCACGTTGCGCGTCTCGCGCGCGCCGAGCGGGTTTTGCTGGAATATCGACAGGCGGCGGGTGCGCGTCGAGAGCAGGTTGAACCACTGCATGATCACGAGGTTGAAGAAGTCTGTTTCAGGTCTCTATCAGTAGACTGACGGACGGATGGCGGCGGTGGCGAGGACTCACAGAGCGACTGCGCGCGGCTGGTGACCTCCGCCAGCCACGCCGCGTCGACCGTCGACGAGCCGTACTTCCTCCAGATCTGCGAGAATGGAATCCCGTTCCGCGCGAAACCGAAGTAGAACGCCGCGACCATCGAGGTGAGGGTCTCAAGGATGCCGATGAACAGATATGCGTGGCACAGCAGCTTGACGTCGGCGAGGCGGTCGGTCTTGCGGTTTCGCGGGCGGCGGAGGAGCAGGTCCGCCTCCGGCTGCTCGTACACCAGCGAGAGCGCCGGCAACACATCCGTGGCGACGCAAATCTAGAGGCTGCGGTCAGGCCGAGGACGCGAAACATGAGCCGCAAAACGCACGATGATCATCTGGATGCTGCTCAGCGCCTGCGGGACACCCGACAGCACGTTCAAGATGACGGGAATGAGCTCGGAGAAACTGCCGGCGGGGAGGAGGTACAGGATCGACTTGCGCAGGTTCTCGAAGCAGAGTCGGCCGTACTTGATGCCCGTGACGATCGTCGAGAAGTTGTCCGAGAGCAGGACGAGATCCGCTGCTTCCTGTGTGCGGGTCAGATGCGCAGACACCTCAATACCCGCACACGAAGCGCACCATAGCTACTTCAGATCCGCCGGCCATGGCAACTCCGACGTCGGCCTGTTTGAGCGCGGGCGCGTCGTTGACTGGGCTGCGGTCAGCCAACGGACGGGCCGGAGGAAAAGAGAGCACGCGCACCTCCATCTCCGGTCACAGCCACCGTGCACCCGCTGCCTTGGAACGCCCGCACAATCTGCAGCTTCTGCTGCGGAGACGTCCGCGCGAACACGATCTCGTCGAACTGCGGTCGGGAGTCCCCGTGAGAATCCTGATTCTTGCACGCACGCGGAGTGTGCGAGCGAGCCCACGCACCGTGAGGACCTGCTTCCAGTGCGCCTCGGTCATGGTCATCATCTCCGGGCCGCTGAGCACCAGACTCCGCAGCGCGTCGCCCTCCTCCTTCGGCACATACGCCGGGATGCGGTCGAGCGCCAGGTCCGCCGGCAGGTCCGCGAGATGCTGGATCGCCGTGTCGGGCGTCGTGATGATACCGACCTGCCGCGCGATCGCGGCCGCAGTGAGCGAAAAGTCACCTGCATGCAAGCGCGAATGAGAGGCGGAAGACACTCGAAGACGAAGCCGAAGCGCAGAAAGCAGCCACAGTTACGCACCCGTCACCATGGCGAACCGAATCCCGGCCCTGCGGCAGACGCGCACGGTCTCCTCGGTCTCTGGTCTCGGCGGGTCGACAAGCGCGATGAGCCCCACGACCGTGAGCCCGACGTTCTCTGCGAGCAGGAAGTCTTCGAGCGCGCTGTCGCTGGGCGCCACATTCCGCAAAACCTTTTTGGCTAAAAGCAACACCCGCTGGCCGCGGGACGCGTATTGCTGCTGCAGCTCGGCCAGGCGGGCGAGCGCCGGTGCGTCCAGTGGCCGATTCTCTCCCTCATGCAGGAACGTGCTGCATCGTTTCATCAGGACATCAGGTGCCTGATGATGAGATCAGTGTTGGCTGGTTTGAATTATTGTCTAGGAGGACCACGCACGCCCTTGACTGCCAGCAAGTATTCTCCGGGCCCGATATCTGAGAACACTGCGTCTTGAGAAGCAGAGGACAGACATTTGACGGCGAATTTGTTCTCTGTCAGGTTGACATGAGGGCCATGAATGGAAGTCCGATCAACGAACGTACTCGAGTTGAACGCGATTTTTCCAGCGACAGACCAGCAGGCACGTAGCTGATCCGTCGAAAGGATGCTTTCCGCGAAACGCAGGAGACCGGTGTCTACGAGATCGATTCAGCCTCCAGCCTTATGTGAGGAGACAAAGTCCTCACCAGTCGCGTCTCCGTTGACTTTCCGATCTTCCAACGCTTCTTCGACCTTACTCGCTTCGAACGCCGCGTCGTTGCACAGCGCGGCCAATGCAGCGAGCTCTGACACTGCCCGGTCGCCCTTGGCAGCGCGGACCCGCGCGTCGGCCGCTGCCACGCCGTCCAAGCCAACGACAATATTGACTGCCGTCATTTTGTTCTGGGTAAGCGTCCCTGTCTTGTCCGAGGCGATGAAGTCGACGGAGCCGAGCGATTCGACGGTTGACAGCGACTTGCACAGAATCGAGTTTGCGCGCATCCGACCGGCGCTGTGGAAAGCAGGTCAGTCGGGGCCAAAGAAAGCCATAGAAGATGGCAAGCGACATACATCACGGTCAATGACAGAGTCACACAGACTGGCAGTCCCTCGGGGATAAAGGCCACTGCGACAGACACGCAATCTATGAGCAGAGCGGGAACGTTAATGAATCCGGGGTAGTCGCGACGCAGCCAAGCGGCCCAAAGAACTGCGGATCAGTCAGCCTCGGTGCCACTGATTACGAGATCGAGAAATTCTTCACGCACTGACGATGAAGACAGCAACGAGGAACGCCATCCCGCCGATGATCAGCACGAACCGGAGGATCTCCACCTCGAGAGTGGTCCGCGTCGGCCGCTCCCGACTGGCCTGCTTCGCGATCCGCCCGAAGACCGTGTTGTCCCCGAGTCCAACAGCGACCCCGAGCCCAGATCCGCTCGTGCAAAGTGTTCCTTGTAGTGCGATGTTGCGCGATTCCATAACTGTAAGAAGGGAGCGCGGGAATATGAACATCTCGATTGACACGCGACCAAGAAAAGCAACTGACAGTTCTTGTCTGTGCAATCGGTCGAGGCGGAGATCTCCGTGCTCTCGCCCGTCAACATCGATCGGTCGAAGCGCAGGTCGCTCGACACTTCGAGCAGGCGCAGGTCGGCAGGGACCTTCGCGCCGAGGGATATGGTCACGATGTCCCCGGAGACAAGCTCCGCCGCGGGTAACCTGCGTCATAGCTTGTTGAGCATAGGAGACACGGAGCGACGGTCCTGTTGACTCGACGCACTTGAACTTGTCGCCATCCCTCGTAACCAGCACATCCGTAGGCAGCAGACCCGCGATGGATGCCATCACCGTTCCAGTGGTGTAGTCTGCCGTCATGTGATCAGCTCCGTGGCCAGTGATTTGACTCAGAGACTTGCCCTGCCACGCATTGAAGATCGCCTGCACGACGATCACGATCAAGAGCACGACTGCCAGCGCGAGATTCGGCGCGAAAGGATTCGGGTCGCCCAGTGGACGCCACGAGATAAAGCAGATGATCGATGCGACGAAAAGCAGACTCCCGAAACCTTGCATTCAAGGTCAGCGCATGCCATCCCTGAGCGTCCCACTCTCTTGAACACACCTCCAAAGAAGTAGAAGAACACCTTCCGCGCGAGGTTGCGCGGGGGGCGGCTGATGACATTCTTCCCATTCGCTGCCAGCCGGCGGGACGCGATCGAGGCGTCGAGCCCCCGCTGCTCAGAGACCCCGAGGCTAGTGCAGACCTCGTCCTTAGGCAGCGTGTGCCAGATGAGCTCGGAAAGATCTGTCCCGGTGCGGGTGAGGGTCAACGCCCCACGTCCTTCCGGTTGCACGGACCTTTCACAGTCCCCTTTCCAGGTTTCGCGCTGAGCGCCTCTTGAGTTTCTGTAACATGGATGCTGCAATGCACATCAATGGTGCGTTCCCGCAGGAATAGCGCGCGGGGACTCGCCTGAGCGTCCGGAACTCGCCGGGGACCTTGACCCGGGGATCGAGCACCCGCGTCCGCGGGGTGCCCACCCGCCGCAGCGGAGCCGGGGGCACGCGCGGCACCTCGTGCACAGCAGTCGCGAGGGACGACTTTGACTCGCGCGCCTCCGCCTCGACGTCCAGATTGGGCTTGCGTTCCATGACTCGGAAGACGACTCGGGGAAGAAGACTGGCAATCTACAGCGGGTGCCCGACTTATATGTCCCCCTCCCCGACCTCGGACGTTTGCAAACCCCTGACGATCATCTGCGTGGATTCCGCCGGCAACAAGAAAAACAGAGTGACGGGCGACTGCTGTAGATCCGTCCCCGGAAACGCGCAAAGAGATTAACGCGGTTGGTTCTCGGGCCCACCGATCATTCAGCGAATATCGCGCAAAATGACATGGAGCTGATGAATGTCGGAGGCTGTGGCGGCGGCGGCGCCCAGGGGTAGTATGATGGACTTGGACTTGGGAGATTCTCTCGTCAATTCAGTGGGAAGTAGGTGCCAGGAAGTCCCACCCCGCCAATTACGCTGTGCTTAATCGCTCAGGCGTCTACACTACGGCGATAAGATCATTGATGCTTGATGGAGCTACCAAGTCACATGCCTGGTCTCGGAGCCCACATCAAACAGTCAAGACTCAACAGTCCGCAGCATCCTCCGCGTGACTCGGAGTCGACATCCAATGATCTCAAGTCTTGTGACGTGTTTCGCCTGGGATTAGTACAACAGGTTAATGGCGGATTACAGAGCGAGCATGTAGAGTAGTAGGCACAGTACGATACAGAGTGGGCCAAGAACTTCGCTCAAGAAACCAGTTCTTCGGTTGTTGGAGAGCTGTGGATACAGATGGCACGGGATAAGCAAAGAAAAAGAATCAGAAACACGACACAGGCATTCCGGTATCACAAAAGGAGCGGCTTGGGTGGGCATCTAGCGGTAAGTAGGTAAGCGAGCGAGCGAGCGGGCTACGCGCAGCGACAGTCGTCCAGCAGTAAGTACAGTTACATCCGACGCAGAGAGAGAGGGAACGGCGAGCTCGCGCGCGGTCTCGGGCGCTGATGCGGCTGCTGCTCCGGCTGCAGTCCCGCATGCATCTGGGCGACAGACTGGCTGCGCGGGATCCCAGGCGATAACGGCGCGGCGGTGGCGGTGGCGGTGGCGGCGTAGCAACCAGACGCCGAAACCCACGCGCCAGAGCCCCGCGAACCTGGTGTGGGTGTGGGGCTTGACGGCCAACCGCTCTCGCGCGAGTAGGACCACGTCGAGGACGCGGGCTCCGACAGGTCGATGTCCTGCGGATACTCCGCCACGCGGCCGGGGCGTACGCCGGAATGACGCGCAGCGCGCCGGCGCTGGCTGACAGGCGTGCTGCCCGCCGGGAGGATTTCGCACGAGCGGTGCACGACGCTGACGACATCTTTCGCGAACGGATCGAAATCCTCTTCCGTTTCCTCGACCGACATGCTGATCACGGACCATGGCCGCGGGCTGGTTGTATGCGGGTACGGGAACGGGGAGGGGGAGGGGGACGAAGTGTGGTGGAAGGGGGGCGACTCGGGAGTGCCAAACCCGCTGCACTCTGACGCAGTCCAGTGCGGCTGGGAGAAAAACGACGCCGTGGGCGACGGTGGAGGCGGATGCGAACACGACGATGTCGATTCGGATGACGGCGGCGATGAAGAAGAAGAGTGGGACAGGTCGGAGAGAGGGACGGCAGCGCGCTCGTACTGAGACGCCAGGGGCAGATAGGGGGTGAAGAGCCGCATAGGCGTGTCGCAGTCGTCGTCCGACGAAGGCGAAATAAGCGTCATGGTCGTCGTGGTCGTCTTAACGACCGTGGGAGGCGGGATGCGCGCATTACGCTTCACCATCAACGCCGATGCGCGTTTCTTGACTTTGGACAAGATGCCGCGTACTCGGGACTGCGGCATTTGGAGCAGAGTCGACGAGGCTTTGCGAGAGAGGTGGTTAAGGAGTGACGGGGGCACGGAGCCAGGAAACGTGAGCGTAGGAAGTGGTGTGTTGCAGTCGAGCGCAGCGGAGATGAGCTGATTAAAGTCGGCGAGCGAAAAAGAGGGTGGAGTGGACACTTCCATGGTCGTCGTGGTTGGAGGGGAAGGCAAGAAGAAACGTCGTCACGACCGAGGTTTTTCTTATACGGACTGGAGCAATGACGCTGTCAAGAAGACAACTCGCAACGGCCGGAAGCATCCTCGAAGCATCCCTCCAGCAGACCAGGCGTTCTTCCTCCGAGCTTCTGATTCCTGCATTTACACGGTTCCGTACATTATTGCCTTCTCGTCTCGTGCGATTTGGCAGATGCAAAGGGGGATGGAGGATGTCCATCCGTAGTCAGCGGATGCTATCTCTGGCTCTACGGCATGACAGACCACTCGCACCTCGAAACGCTCTCGTCACCGTGTTCCAGTTCAATGGCGCGGATTCAGAGTCTGTTCTGAGGTTCGTGGTTGAGTCGCACTCAAATCCGAGCTCGCAGACTGGCATCTATCGAGAATTCGACGCCCGGCAATCCTGGACGCGGAACAAGAGAGTGTCACATGTGGCTGTGCATGTGTAAGTCACCTCGAATGCAAATTTCTTGACATGGATCGTTCCCACGGCGGGCCAGTCTCTGATTCTAGATGCGCTCTAGAGTCTATTTTGCGACACCGACCTTGGCAGTATACTCACTCATGCTCTGGAATACGAAAGTGACGATACGCTCGAGCGTCGACTCCCGCCAATCGCTTGCCTCATTGTGGACTCATAGCCTCAGCGTCTCCTCTCCTCATCCGGAAACTTGCTTATCTAGCGTCTAACATTCTGTGCTGCCTTTCGAATCCCGCTGCATGTATCTTAAGAACTTTCTCCGCGTTTGACCTCGCGACTCCGCTCGCCTCGATGGCCCCTCAAACGCTTCGCTCCCGACTTGAAGTTGCGCTACACATCTTCCGGCGTTCTTCAAACACCAAATCACGCGGAAGCGCAGTGTTTTGACAGCCCATCGAAGCAGCTCAAGTGGGCGGGCAGCCTCCTTGGCGTGCTTCTGACTTGGGACTGGGACCACCGGCAGTTTCGCGCCGCGCTGCAGGTAGAACTCCGCAGAACCACGCCCATTTTAGCATCTTGCTAGACGGTACAACCTCGCTTCGCGTCTACGTGGGGGAGCTCTCGCTGAGGCGACTGACAGGACAGCACGTCGCATCCAGCGAAGTACACATACATACGTGTACACGGTGTCTACCGCTTCACAAGTCAATGTCATACCAAAACGAGACATTCTCTGGCTCATCCTCTGCTTCGTGGATCTCTGTCAACGTCAGCCCCTCCCTCTCCGCGACGATGTCCATGGCCATGCTTTCTAACCGCCGCACATCTTCTACGAGCGTAGGCCACCCGTGCCCCGGTCGAGGATGGGCGAGCTGACCGCAGTGCCGCGCTTTTGATTCGTGCCGTAGCATCGAGAGCGCCAAGGACGTCTCCCAGTCCCATGCTGGCGGGAAAGGGGTTGGGGGCGGCGGTGTATCGTGCTCCCAGGGGAGAGGCGAATCGAGGTCAAGGAACGAGGAGGAGGAGGAGGAGGAGGAGGATGATGGAGAGGACGGCGAGCTTGCGTTCGAGACGCTCAAGCTGTCCGGCACAGGCGATGGGGTCCACGGCGAGAACCGAGAGCGAGGGCAAGGCTCGTCGTCGTCGTCGTCGTCATCATCATCCCCACTCCCACGGAAATCAACGCAGTTCGTTTCGATGAGGATGGGGATACGCGTGTCGGGTTCCTCGAGGCAGGGTTCCAGATACGCTTGCGAGTCGCGGGAGTGTGAGATGTACGCCGCCGAGTACGGGTGGTTGATGCGTTTGCGGGCCAGCCTGGCGCTCGTTCTGTGCAATGCATGGTAAGAGACGAGCGGCTGGAGTAGCATTGAGCGATGGGCGCGGCAGACGACAATGAACACAACACGGACCTGCGAGCAGAGTTTCTTGATCGCCGGCCCACTTTGAACGGAAAGAGGGTTCGAACCCAAGCCCTGAGGGTCGTGGTCAGCGTCGGCAGTAATTGGATCCAGAGGATCAGTTATGCACACCTCACTGTCAGCCCTTTTCCGCGAGTTGGCGCTGTGTTGCATGGACGGCTGACCAGGGCTGCTGGCGACAAAGACCGGAAGGGAAGAGGAGTTCATATCAAGGAGGCCACGGGCTCTGCTTTATACGTCGGACGTCACACATGGAGACAAAGCTCGCCGCTGGTATCATTCCTGGCGTTCGGTTGGCGCCAGAGACAAAGAGGCGCTTTGAGGTGCCCATCATTGCTTGTTGATGCGTCCTGTCACTACTTACATACATTCGCACCGTCGACGCCATCCATGACTTCAAGGCGCGGGGTTGGGGGTCCGTGCCCCTCGCTTCCCGGAGCGCTCCCCGCATTCTTGGTTGCATTGATGAGTTGAGAAAATTCTGTGTGGAGTGCTTGTGTCTCACGAGTACGAGCACCTGATTCTTGCGTTGAGAGGGTCCAGTTTAGTTGTCTTGACCCCAGTGTCAGGCTGCCCAAGATACCCCACCGCTAAGCCAGAGCTCGGAGCAATCCTCACGCCATGGGGACTTTAATTCAGATGGTTGCGGCGGCATTTCTTCATCTAGAATACGACTACATCACGCTTCATACCTTTGAACAACAGGCGTCACCATGTCTGATAATTGTTCCCAATCCTGATTTCCGAATCGAATAAAAAAAACAGGATCGTTGCATCTTCAGGTATCATTCTATCAATCCCATATGACTGGCTTTCCTTTCTTCTTCCTCTTGCCTTGAGTGGAAAAGGATCCGGATACATCAGAGCGCTCCGGCTGCTCTTCTTGAATCGATGGTTCTTGCCCGCTGAAGGCCACTACGGCAGAAAGAGCTGGAATTGCAGAAGGGATTGGCAAAGTATCCGGTGGCAGAGCCGTGTCATCATGAGTCGGAGCGACAGGACAGGTCAAAATGGGAGGCTCAAGACAAACTCCCCCAGCTGCAATCGGAAGCGCGGTGATCAATTGGGCTCCCAGGGCCAATTTCCAGAAAACCTTGTGGGAAACTGCAACAGAGTGCCCACTCGGCGCCTCACAGAGAGATCTGAGCATCCGGTCCATGTCGTCCGTGACTTCACGAAGATGCGCTAAAAGAAACTCGATCTGCACGTCCTGGACCTCCGGGTGCCTGGATTTCCCACTCAGCACGGAGTCGCTCCAGAGAAATACTCGGAACATCTCGGGATGGAACGCACCACGAGGTGAAATGCGAGAACGCGTTTTTGACGATCGTTCTCACAGACAGCTGTGCACAGATAGCCGTGAACGCGAGGCTCTTGAGCTCGGGTAAGCCAAACTGATAATCCGTGAGTTCACCGCGTCCTGAATTCATAGAAAACGCCCTCGCTCACCTGATCAGCGAGCAGGTAGATCGATTTCGCTGAACACGCGGGCGCAGCGCGCACGCGTTTTGCCGCAGACTTTGCGTCCGAAAAGCGGATATGGCCCATGTACAGGTAGAACAGAAACGCGTGCCAGCTGTGCACAAGAATCAGAAACAGGGGACGGAATCCCAGAAACTTGTATCTACACGCACGTTCGGAACGCGTGGCCTTTCAGGATCACGACGTGGCCCATCCGCTTGCTCCGTTCTGGCTCGACTGGGGTGCTGCAGCTCAGGGATGAGCATCAAGTCACGGTGAGAAGGGAGGAGTCTCACGACGATGAACCCCCGCCGAACAGCTCTCCTGCGGTGGATTTTCATTGTCGATGCTACCAGAAAGAGTTGGAGTTGAATGGAAATTACAGACACTGACGCACTTTGTTATCGGCAACAAAGCTTCTGAGTGGTCGACCGAGCCCGTGGCAGAGGTAAAGCTCATCCTGTCGTCTTCGTCCGATACATCAGACTCATCGTCGTCCTCGAGGTCGCTGTCGTCCATGTAGTGATAACCCGTGTACATCCGCTCGTCTTCGTCGGGGATGTGATCCTCGAGCGACACAATCCTGGCTTCTTTGAATCCAGCAACATCGCTTCGGCTTGTTACGCCCTCCAAGTCTACAGCAATCAATTGGATAGGCAAACTTGGGAGGGGACTGCGGCAGGACGACCCACACTGATCCAGCTCATCGGAATGGCCCATCAACCAATTCTTCTTCGCATAGAGCGCCTCGAGTCCGCGCACGTACCCCACCCCCTTGCGGGTGTACGCGTAGAACTTGATCTCAGGGCTGTCCTTTCCCAAGAGCATGTTCGCCAAACCGGATTCCACGCTCGAGTGCAGTGTCGAAGGCGTCGGTGTCCGAGTCGTTGCACACTTCATGTTGTCGACGTAATAGCGACAGGGAGAGAGAGAGGTTGTGTGGGAAAGCACTATGCAATGTGGGATAAGCGTTCCGAAACACGAGGCCACTAATACTCACAGGATATAATCTGGTGGGACGCAACCTTACTGAATGTCCGGATCAGCTTATTGCGGCCCGCTTTCACACAACGTCGCGGGGATTTGCCTGAATTGTCTTGCCTCCCCTCTCTCTACAATGGGTTCATCTGGCATGATAGGCTTGTCATGCCATCCCAAGGAGAGTCACACATCAGTGCAAAGTTATCTTTGAGCCCGATCTTGGAGTTACCCTCGCTCACCCCAGATGCCACCGCCATCATTACATAATAGACCCCGCGGGTACCTACTGTATGGAGGCCGGGAACAGCATGCTGATTCGCGGCGCGAAATGAGATCGCTGTCTGATTGATGGATCGCTGCACGTGCTCGGCATCATTCACGGCATATCACATTGTACTTTGTTGCTTGTGCTCTGTAAGGTTTATAAATGCTAGTTAATGTACACACTAGTTAGATATCATATTGTATGTATGTATTCTTGTTAACAAGTGTTGAGTTCCCCTGGTCCTGAAATTGATCGGTCACGTGCAGTTTCGATGAGTCAGCAAGGTCGCCGAAACACTTTCACGTGATCCTGTCTCATTATTGCGGACGCCCTGGGCAGGAATCAATGAGTGTCCTCCATAGGCATGTCATCGTTCAAGCTAATTAAGTAGTGCCACTGAGGATTTAGCCAAGTATCTACTACTTAAAGCACAACAGTTTGAAGAATTCACAGTAACCTGATTATGTAGTCTTTGTCACTGCTGTACATTGCTGAGTACAAGGTAAACTGTAAATCTACCAGTCATCTGCATTTAAGTGTTGTGTACATTGGTACAACTCCAAAAATCTCGTGTTCAGAGTGCTCGACAGCATTACTTCGACTGCTCAGGCTTATTTCTACAAAGGTCTAGACAGGTTGCAATTTTCAAACAATATTTAATTTCTTCTGCCGGTTTGGAGTGGCACTGTTTTAATCTAATTGATTTAGGCATTTCTCGATGCCTTAGCAGAGTCCCTGGCAGTCTAGTTCCCGGGGATTGCTGCCTCCTGAGCTTATTCCAAGGGAAGCGAGCATCCAACCAGGTCGGAGTTGTACCATTGGACTACAAACTCAGCACTACTTAAGTAGCTTGAACGATGACATGCCTATGGAGGACACTCATTGATTCCTGCCCAGGGCGTCCGCAATAATGAGACAGGATCACGTGAAAGTGTTTCGGCGACCTTGCTGACTCATCGAAACTGCACGTGACCGATCAATTTCAGGACCAGGGGAACTCAACACTTGTTAACAAGAATACATACATACAATATGATATCTAACTAGTGTGTACATTAACTAGCATTTATAAACCTTACAGAGCACAAGCAACAAAGTACAATGTGATATGCCGTGAATGATGCCGAGCACGTGCAGCGATCCATCAATCAGACAGCGATCTCATTTCGCGCCGCGAATCAGCATGCTGTTCCCGGCCTCCATACTACTGGGTACCCATAGACGTAGCTCTATGGGTACCCCCCCGCGGCGGGGGCGCAGGGGGCAGGGTCATATGCAGGGGTCAGGAGGGGGGGATAATACATATCATGTGATTTATCCTGTAGATCAGGCAGATGGGTGGGAGAAAAAATAGAATCATGTGAGGCATCAAATGGGCAGGGGATGGCGGGATAAAAAATCACGTGATGAAACACATGAGATTTCAAAAATGTTGGCGGGGTTGGCGGGGGTGTTGGCAGGGTCACTACCGCCCCCTCCCGCACACCAGGGCAGACAGTGGGCGCATTATCACGTGACTTTTTGGAGACTTTTTTTTTGCACTGTTTAGCATGGTTTCTGTTGTCCTCCTAATACATTGTATGTTGTAGCCGGTTGGTAGGCAGATGATCACATGACTTTTCACAAATAAAACAAAAAAGCAGCTCCAAATCATCCCACTAGGATTTCAATAGCTGGGTTCAATTTTAACCATACATTTGAGCTTGAAAACCCAAAATTGTGAATCCTGTTGATCAAATATCATCTGTCAAGATGGATGTCGTGATACACATCTATGACTCCATCACGTGTCATCTAGAGTCATATCGACTCGTCCCAAATAGACACAAACGGCCCCCTGTATCATATATAAGGAGGGCTCTATTACCCTTTAATACAAGTCTCTTGACTACTCCCGCATAGTGCCCACACTAAGCTCTCACTCACACAGGTGAGCTGCTAGACGCTCTCCCCAGTGCTCAACAGGTTATGGGCCCCGAGAGCTATGTCTGCGCCTCAGTGGCCGCGACATTCATTGTATGCGCCGTCACTGGCTGCAACAATGAGCAGCGTCTTTAGCCTATCTGTATTCACTTCAGCTGCTGCATAGCGCTGGTGAAACCATGCCGGATCGCGATTACATCGCTTGATCCAGATGCATCGATCTCTAAAGGAGATTATGATCTATGAGAATCTGATCATCTTTATCTTTGATTTTATCTATCAGATTAGATTGATGCTGATCACTCACACAGATCTAACATGTCGTCCAACTCCAACAACATCTTCAATGCTGTCTCCATCTTTGATGGAAAGCACTGGCTTGTCTGGTCCGGAACTATGGAGTCCTATCTGGAGCATCAGGGGATCTCATATGTGCTGACCGAAACCGTGCCAACCGAAGTCAAAGCATCTGATGGCTCTGTGACCAATAAATCGGAAATCAAGCAGTGGAAGCATGACGACCTCAGGGCCAAAGGCAGCATTAAGTTGCGCCTGACTGAAGGTGTCATTGCTAACATTCCTGCCGCCGAAATAGTGTCAGCTGCCAAGATCTGGAAGCATCTGAAGACCCAATATGGTGGTGCTCAGTGCGCCGACCTGTACGCGTACTTCCAAGCCGCGTTGAACTCCAAGTACAACGTGGGGTTGCACCCGGATCCACAGCTGCTGGTGATCACTACGGCGTTCACTCGCCTGGAGAATGAGTCTTTGATCATTCCTGAGTTCCTCAGGGCGATGATCATTCTCAACATAGCTCGGATTCCCTCTGTCACGGAGACTGTTCTACAGACTTACGACAAGGACGAGATCAAGGTCTCGGTGGTTCGCGACGCTCTCTTGACACATTTTGCTCAGAAGCAGTCTCAAAGCCAGAATCATGTGGCCAAGTTCAATACCAAGCGCAAGCGCAATGACCCTTCGTTCACCAATCAGCAACAGGGCTCTGGCTCTGCACCCGATAAGGGTGATAAGGCTGATGGAAAGAAGAAGAACCATCGAGGCAAGCGCAGTGGGAAGAACAAGGACAACAAGGGCAAGGGCAAGGCTGATCACAGTCATGTCCATGGAGTCTCCGAGATCACTGGCTCCCTCACTATCGGTTCGATCGCCTCGCTCACTCCGTCTATCCCTGCGCCGACGATCTCGCATGTCACGCACATCTCTCGCGATGGACCCAAAATCCGCGCGGTTCAAGAGAAGTCTCCCGTTAACAACAATGGGATTATTGACACCGAGTTCCAGAAACCTACTCGTAAGGTCTTCGAGCTGGCCAAGAAGATGGATGTGACGGTGACCGCAGAACGCTTCCGGACTCTTGACAAGATAGTCAATGAGAAAGGAATGCTCCGCGAGGACGCAATCATGCGTTCTCCATCTCCGGTTGCTTCCGGCTCGAATCACACCCTGGATGGTGGTCCTCCTGCCAAACGCAGTCGTATCGAGGAGATCCCCGACGTCGAGATGGCCACCGGCCAACAGAACAATCTTGATCTTCTGTTCGGAGATAGCGAGTTCGCCCAGGCTGAACCCGTCAATTGGGATGAGGTCGTCGACTTCAACACCCTTCTGGAGGAGATGGACGCTCCTTCCGCCGAAAGGCAAGTACCCTGCCTTCTTGGGCATATGCACAATTCTGATTGTTGCTCACAGCCAGAGCACGTAATCACCGCCGCCCCGGGTTCTGTACTTAATTCGTTGATGATTCGATCGCATGATTTTTGTACAAATTTATTCTGTGTGCACTCCAATTTTGCTGCCTGCTCTAAGTGTAAGGGGAAACATCATCATCATGAATTAGGGCCTCTATGGCTTCTCGATTCTGGTGCATCTCTCCATGTGACATTGGAGATTAGTGATCTGGTCGGATATGAGAAGCTCTCAGATCCTATTGTTGCTCAGACCGCTGATAAGAACACACGTGTTGCCCTTATTGGTTGAGGAACAGCCTTCATCGATCATTATGTCACAAGGCATGGAGAAAAGATTATGGTGACTTCTCAGATATATCCAGTGTACCTAGTGCCAGGATTACATGGTCGTCTCATGTCTTTGGGCTCCTTACTCAAAGGAGGATCTC